TTCAATTGTGGCCTATAGATTGAGTAAAAAAAAATAGCACAAAAAGTTAAGTTTTTGGTCGACTTCATCCCAAAATTATTATGTTATCACCGAAAATTATAGGCGTTGTCATCGACCATAACTGGAATCTCATGGAAATTTTCAAAGCGATCAGCGCTATATTTCCGCCCTCTAGTCTGGTATTGGGTTACTAAATAATTCCTGAGCACCTGTAAATATTTATGTGTAACTCCCACATCTGAGTACATACGACCATATAATTGGTATCAATTTAAAGGTCAACCACTCCTCTTGAACACACTATAAACTTCTCGGGCCTTGGTCCTTCAGGGGCAAATATATACGCCATAGAATACAAATTTTGTAATTTTTCGCACAAAAGTCAGGGTTCATTTGACCCGCTAAATATTGACCGATTTTTATCAAAACAGGCATGTTTATTCTTTGGCTCGATCCTCTTTTCCATGCAAAAATTCGCGGTGTTTGGCCCATAAATGCGGCCTCAGGAGCGACCAGAAAAACCGAAAAAAATAAAGTTTTTGGTCCATTTCATCCCCTAAATATTAACTGATCTTTTCCAAAAACAATAGGGGTCTTCATTGGCCAGAACCCATTCTACATGCAAAATTTCGTGAAGATTGATCCATAACTGTGGCCTATATCGTGTTTACAAATTATAATGGACATACGGACGGACGGACACACATGTCTAGATCGACTCAGCTAGTCGAGATATGACGATCGGTATACTTAAAGGTCTAGGACCAATATTTCGCAGCATTACAAACTCTTGGGGCTGCACAAAGCTATAATACCCTGACAACATAGTTGTGTAGGGTATAACAACAACATATTTGTATACCCTTTACAACACTGTTGTACAGGACATTATGTCTTTGTGCATATGTTTGTAACAGCAAAATGAAACGTATGTCTGTCTGTCCATGTTAAATTGTAAACAAAGTACACGTCGCATTTACGATTCGATTTGGATGAAATTTGGCATAGGTCACTTAATTGGCCCAAGGACGAGCCCTATTGAAATTGGAAAAAATCGGTTCAGATTTAGATATAGCTCCAATATATATTTTCGTCCGATTTAAGGTTAATGGCGTACTAAAGTCCCTATATATCTTTCGATTTGCACGAAATTTGGCACAGCGCACAGTGGGTTAGAGTACCATGTTTTCTTGGATCAAATCAGGGAAGCTATGTTAGAATAATTTTTCTTTATTTTTCAGTTAATACCATTAAAATAAGTTAAAAATAATGTTTTCTAAGTATATTTGAGTATAATTTTATTAAGTAGTGCCAAATATCAGTGTAGGTATATAGTGCAAGGAGTACAATATGATAACTTAAACATTGAATTTTATACATCTTAAAGTTGATCATCCACATCGTCATCATCCGCAGCCAGGGATGGTCCATATGACGAATTTTCAGGTTTTCGACTGTCAAAAAGGTGTAAACGTCGAAAACGTCATATACCTGTATAAAATGTAGTAAACGTCATTTATTTCAATATTATCAATTAATTTTCAAGAACATATATTATTTTTACTGTATATCTGGCTATTCTTTACTAGAACTGATAAAAAATTCTGAATTTTTTTAAGAAAAAAATTTTGATATTCGATATGAATTTGAGTAAAGCATACGTTATTTCCAAATCGATAAATGTAAATAGCTATTTTATAAAAAAACATAATGGTTTTGAGTGGGTTTCCGACGTTTCTGACGTATGTATTATACGTCGGAAATGTATGTCATTTACGTCACTGTTTCTGACAGGCCATCTCTGTCCGCAGCATCACCAACTTCTGATAATTGCTCAATATGTAAAAGGGCATTTGACACAATTTCGGGTCCGTGAATAAAAAACTTGTGCATATTATACCAAGGATACGTTTCAACAAAAAGTCGTCGTGTATTGTGTGCATATATTTGAAATTCTTCATTATTAATCTCATGGCCACTGGATACAGCTATAACCGACACGTGCCATTTTATTAAATTAACATATATTTTTGTTATTTCGGCAGATTTTTTTAGCGTTTTGGTGCGTTTTTTGATTTCTTTAGCTAAAAATGTCATCTTGTCATTCATTGTTTGAGCGCTCGAATTCATCATAAGCTTCGACGATTATAAAAAACAACGTTCGAACTTGTACCTATAAAAAAATTCTAATAAAGAACCCTTTTACCCGACTACTTGAAACTGCACAGCACAATCACTATTTGTCAAAACAATGAATATTATTAAAATAAACAAAAACAAAATATTATTGTAAGAAAGAATATTATTAAAAGAAACAAAAATAACAACAATAAAATAATTAGAAAAAATAACTTGAAAAACAAGAAAACACAACACTCAACAACAGCACCAGCCACGAGATCAATGTGACTTTTAGCTAATTTGACTGCTGCAACACTTGTATTAAACAATGCATAGCTTCTAAAAGGCACAAAAGGGCAGCGTAAAATTTTGCAATATAACACAGATTTATGTCCTCTTTAATATAAACCAATAATTATGACACGAATGTGGACGATTAATAACTATTTATCCATTTAAAATATAAAAATATTAATTTTTTTGGCATTTTCAATATAAATAACTAAATCTTAATCACTTCCAAACACAATTTCATACTCAAATGTTAACGAAGTATTTGCAAAATAACCTAAACTTCATGGTTCCGTTGAAAAATGTTTAACTTTTACAATACTTTTTTAAATAAATAAAATTTTCAACGGGAACGTTTTCACTTTTTTCAGCCTTTTTTGGCACAAAAATTTGTATGAAGTTTAACTTTGAAGTTTCACTACAAAAACACCAGTCCACTTTTGACATTTATTTCAACGACAAGTGATGTAGAATTTTATATACTTTAACCGTGTGCAAAAATTTTTAACGATACTTAAAATTTAATTTTTTAATTAATCCAAGGAAACAGGGTATTCTAACCCACTGTGCAGCGTACTGAAATAAGTCTACAATGATGTGTTTTAAGTTTCCTTAAAATCGATTCAGATTTATATATAGCCCATATATATTTTCGTCCGATTTAAGGTATATGGTGTACCAAAGTCCGTATATATCTTTCGATTTGCACGAAATTCGGCATAGCGTACTGAATAAAGTCTAGAATGATGTGTGTTAAGTTTCCTGAAAATCGGTTCAGATTTATATATAGTTCTCATAAATATTTTCGTACGATTTTATGTAAATTGTGCACTAAAGACCCAAAGTTTGTCCGATTGCCACACAATGTTGTACAATGAATAATTTAGTATAGGTTGCAGAATAATATGTTTATGGATCCAATTTCATTTTAATGGTCCTTCAAAAATGCGACGTCTATTAGGATTAATCTGTTGAAAATACCCAAAGTGGTGATACCCTTCACGTCCCCGTCCGACTTTACTACACTCTTATTGGTTTTTACTGTGAAATGTCACCCTTCCAACGAGCATAAATATGAAATTGGTTGATCGATATTTTACAAGAAATCTATCAGTACAGCCATCTGCCGAAAAAATAATGGATTTCTTTTTCCCCAAACCTAATATTTTCTTGATCAGTTTTAAATCCTATGTCGATCTAGCCATGCCCGTATTTCTGTCTGTTGAGAACATGAGAAAATTTTCAATATTTAAAATATAAAAATGGAGGTCACCAGCAGGAATAGCTACCATATAAGGGTACTGCCCCATATTCGGTATTGAAGGGTTTTTTTACCGAAGAGGTTCTAATTTGATATTTGACGATGAAAACACCATTGCAGGAGATTTTTACTTTGACAAAGAAATTACCATACGACCCTATTTCCAATTTGGTAGAGGGCAACAATTTTGATATGATTCACGTAGCGCCATAGTGACTTCTACCACAATTGTCAGTAATTTGAACGTTTTCATCGCAGTTCTTCACTTAAGTGGCTGTAATTTGACATGTCGGGTTTTTGGAGGGTGGATAATATCGTTGCAGATAAATGTTGGTATAGGTCAATGTTTTTGCAAAATGCCTATATTTTCGGTATAGCAGCCCGTATCATTTCGGGATATTATTAAGGGTTTAGCCGTATTTCTGAACTGAAGTGACTGCAATTTGGCATCCCGTCCATGTTTTTACATAGGTCCCATATTAAGATTCCGCCCATTTTTTTTTCATTTTTAAGGTTTGTCCGCATTTTCTAACCAAATATGGTATCGATATTTTTCACATACATTGTTACTACTTCTACAATGTTTAGTCCAAGTTTTGGTACATCCTCCATATAACGATATTCCCAAATATTCGTTATTTTGGGGATGTTTGGCATGTTTTTAACCGAATTGGATGTAATTCGGTACTCTGAGTTCCCATTGCGTAGAAAATCTCTTAACCAAAAATTTTAATTGTCGATATTGGTCTACTTCCATTCGGTTCTTTGAGAGTTTGGGCATAGGTTTTAACTGAATTATGTCCGCATTTGGTAGCAAATACCTCTAATAAAAATGATTCATATAGGTATACTTTTTAGGAGAGCACTCATATAACAGTATCCCCATTATTCGGTATTTTGGCGATATTATAAACTTTTTCACGAATTGGCTGTAATTAAGTTCCCATTGGGTGTCACATCTTCCTACTCAATGTTTATCATGACATATATCTCGAACGATTATTACTATTTTAAGTGCCCTCAGGGTGGAGGCTAACTTAACGAAGTTTTTGCTTGTTAGTTGAAAGTTTTGGCAGCATTTCTCCACCGACGTGAATGTAATTTAAAACTCTGGTATACTAGTTTATGCTCAACAAAGGGTCCGATTTATTTCCTGTATATTACAATTCGTGGCCATGTTATCCAATCTGAGTATCTGCAACATTCTAAGGCAGTTTTACAGACACTTAAGGAATTCAAGTTCTCCTCCATATAAACGAACTAATCGATGTTTATATTTGTTTAATTTTAATTCAACATTATTTAATTGTAATCCCTCTCTTTTTTATTTACAGAAAAATGCAAGAATACCAAAGAGAACATGCCGAGGCTGCCATGGATGTTTCGGCATATGTATCGAATCCTATTAATGCATATTTATTGACAAAACGTTTAACGACCGATTGGAAACAAGTAGAAAACTTAATGGCCCATGATGTGGGTGCAGAATTCCTTAGTAACATTTCCAATTATCGCAGTATTTTGAAATTCCCCTCAGAAGAAGATTTAAATGGAGCTGCTGTGGCATTAATGCGTCTGCAAGACACCTATAATTTGGATACATCAAGCTTGGCCCGAGGCGAATTGAATGGAGTGCAATATAGGTAAGAAATCAGGACTATTTGAAAATATTAACATTTATTTAAAATATATTTCTTTCTATTATTGCAGTACTGAAATGTCCTCCGACGATTGTTTCGAATTGGGTCGCCAGTCATATGTGAATCATGATTATTATCATACCGTTTTGTGGATGAATGAAGCCATGACCCGTATGTCATATGAGCCACGTAACCGTTCATTGGCTTTCTCCAAAGCTGATATTTTGGAATATTTGGCCTTCTCTACCTATAAACAAGGTAAGTGAAAGTTCATATGCAACTTAGTCTCTTGACATTGTCTATGAAGCCTGAGGCACCTTGAAAATTAATTGAATTTGTTACTGTTTATGTGGTATGTTTTTTTATTGAATTACAACCACTATGTCAGAATGTCACCTACCTACCTATCTACCATAGCAATGTAATTTTTATTATATTACTTTGCAGTACTTTTTATAAGTAACACATTTCCTTATACAATATAGTAAAGTGAATATTTCTTACTCTTCTACGTTCTGCATAAAAACACGCATCTGGGTTTTCTTCATCGCGCTCTCTCTCTCCTCGCCTCATTTCAACTAAAATCTGCTTGACATGAATAATGTTATCGTTTGTGTAACGATGCAATGTCATTCATTCTCGTCGTCGTCGTTCGCATTTGCCCAAGAGGGCCAGAGCGAGCAAATGTCGAAAAAGGGTTTATGGTGCGACATAATTAAGTTTGGTACAAATTCAATGTCACAATTTTTCTCAATTTAATCACTTATCGTAAACAAGGTCTGATAAATTGTTATACGAAAAAAGTGTGCAAATATAAAGCTTGTTACTTACATACTTAAGGATTGTAGCAAAACTAATAGCTAGGTGTTAAGCTAAGCTAGTAAGGTGACATTGAAAAGTGATGATTCAATAATAAGGTAGATAAACGGATTTTGTATGAATATTGGGAAGTAAGTTACTTATTTTTTCGAAGAATTTTTATCGGTATAGTAAAATGAAAAAATAAAAAGTAAAAATGTCTTAAGTTCAGCGGAATAACAAATTATAGTCTTTAGAATAGGGAAAATGCGGCAAAAACCGGACAATGGGGCGCTACCTCAATTCAGTTCGATTTTTTCAAAAACTCCTTAAATGTCGATTTTGGGTCCATAATGGACCATCTCCAATCGTGTCTCAAATGAGCGACCACGAGTTGCCCTTTACAAAAACAAGGAAATTCTGTCGCATAGCCGGTGTTGGTATCTGTCCATAGAAGAAAGTCTTAAATACCTGGCCGAAGTCCAGCCTCCCACAAAACTATTATTTAAGGGAACCCCTCCCATTCTCGTTTTTAAGTTTTCAAGATTTTCAATGGGCTGGTAAATCAATAACAATGCTTGTTAAGGTTTGTAACTTTGCACATATATATTTGAAGATTTAAAAGAGAAGAAAAATAATTTACAAAAAAAAAAATTGTTACTGTTTTGTTGTTTTTTTTTGGTAATTAAAGAAAAGTCCTCATTTTTGATGGCGGTCATGATAACATCGGTCTCAAAATTTTTATACTGGGGCGTATATATTTACTCCTGAAGGACATAGACCCTAGAAGTTAATAGTATATCTAAGAGATCTTGTCGACCTCTGACTTGGTACCAATTATGATGCTGTATGGATGTATGTGGGACTTATACATAAATATTTAAATGTGCCTTTGTGTTATGATATTGTTTAGTATTACTATTACCTCACTAAAGGGCGGAAATTTCGCGGTGATCACTTTGACATTTTCGGTGATGTAGAGATGATATTTAGAGGGTGTAATGAACCGAAAACTTTATTTTTGTCAGATTTTCTAGTCGCTCTAGAGGCCATTATTATATGAAGAACATAACATATTTTACACGGTAAAGAGGATCTGACCAAATATTTAAAACGGCCAAATTTTTATTTTATGACGTAAATATTCACTTCGCGATTTAGAAAATATTCCAGGGTTAGAAAGTGGAGCTGTTTACCTATAATCGGTCAAAAGAGTGCAAATATAGCGAAATATTGCCCAGGCTCAAAATATAGAACCGCAGAAAGTGTGAGTTCCGTGGTATTTGTGTAGGGTATCATAAGATCGGTTATACTGCTCCGTCCGGTTATACCGTTCCGCTCACTGGTTTTTTTCATGTATATTTTTTTAGTAATTAATTCGACGAATCCGATTTCCATGCGAGGATAAAAAATCACATCTTGTGTTAATTGAAGTCAGGTTCAATAAACTAAGGACCAAAAGGAGTTAAAAAGACAAAATATTCTACAAAAAATTTCCTCATTCGATTTTTCTGAGGAAATGTAATCTCAAAAATACATACATTAGCTAGAAATTAAGATATGATCCTATCTCTTTACATAAAATAGAGTCGCCTGGAAAAAAATTATCATGGCGATTGTTTCCTTCTGGTATACTCGCCAAGGTCTTTCATCCCCAATAGGTATTTTTCCACCTCTAGACCATGACCTCGATTTTGCCACACTTTTCATCCAAATTTACTTCAAAATTAATATTTCTGCTTAATTAATATAGGTATACCTCTCGGTATAGACCCATTTTTCAGATATTCTTTTTCCTACTTAAATCAACTTTAAATGTTTATAAGAAAACGACATACGTATCACTCCTTTCTTCCTTCATTACATTAAGTAAATTACATCAAGTAATTAAAAACAATAAACCTTTATAACATTCATTCATCATATATGTATGTAAAACCTCTTAAGATATGTTCTCGTGACACCATCACCAATAGGAATAATTGTAATATGAACTTCTCTATGTACCTGAACTATGGCAATAACAAAGTCCATACTTATTATTGTTTTTACTCTATAAACTGAAAACCATTAAATGGTATTTTACCATGAAATACCACCTCGTTCTTACCATCGTTTATGCATTACAACTACAATAACAACGACAACTTCAGCAACATTACATTGCAATTCCAACGACAACAACAGAAACATTACACTGCAATTTAAAGTGACATTTTTAACCGATATTTTAACATAAAATGTTTGCCACAAAAACTTAACATCCTCCTCCTCTTCCTTGTGTAAGAAGATGCTGTTGACAGTACAGGGAATGGTTGCGGTTAGTTGGTGGTGGTCGATGGATGGATGGTAGTGCGTAAGGCGTATGGCGAATGTAAGTCATATTGCCGTTGGCAAGGACGTTGTCGTAGTTTTCTTAAGCAATTCTATTAAAGGGAAACCAAATGTTTTTGTTTAAAGAATTAAAGTTTCGCCCAAGTGCGGAGGAAACTTATTTTTCAAGACAGACAAAACTTAGTTGGAAGAATAAGCAAAGATGGCAGGCAGAGGGAAACCTAAAGACATTCGATGAAAGTGAACAGCAACCGAGCCCCCACCCACATAACTAAGAACAACAACAAGAAGAACAAGAAAAATCTGCATTCGCTCTAGAAACTTGGGTTTTATTTGCCATATCAAGTGTTCGTAATTCATTCGTTCGCTCGGTTGCCAGTTCGCTTCGTTATATCCTATGCACACAAGTAAAACATCTGTACATAAACATATACACATACAGATATATACGTACATATATCCCTGGGAATTTATGCTGCAACCAGGACAACAGAAATAGCAATGCCTACGCAATGCACCCACTCTGTAGTAGCATTGGCGTAGATGGCAATTTTTGTGCAGGATAATTTAATTTTAAGTAAGTTTCACTTTTTTGTTGTTTGGTGACCATATCAACCATGAACTGAAAATAAAATCATAATATTTGAGGGGGAATGTGCAGAGTGGAACGAAATTTATGTTGGCATATTTGCGCGTCAGTGTTTAACCGAAATTTGATGTAACAAAAATATCTCCATTTGTATAATGTGGTATGTTTTGGGAAATTCGTCCTGTGGGTAGTTATATTTGTATACACACATACATCTACATTTATTACATACTCACACATACACCTTTATGCATACTAGTGGAGTAAATTAAACCGTGTTTTAAGTGCCCAGATTTTCTGGAAAGAAAAGTTTTATGTTTAAACGAAAATAAAAATTCCTGTGAAGTTGTTTGAAGGACTTCGAATATTAAGTTCAGCGTTTCTTGGAAAAATTAAGTGTTGCCGAGAATAGCGAATGGAGATCTAGCAACCACTATAAAAAAACTTCTTGTAAAGTTCTTCAAGGAATTTTAAAAACTTTTTTGTTACTAATTATGAATTTACATTAAGGGAACCCCACCCATTCCCGATTTTAATTTTTCAAGATTTTCAATGGGCTGGTAAATCAATACCAATGCTTGTTAAGGTTTGTAACTTTGCACATATATATTTGAAGATTTAAAAGAGAAGAAAAATAATTTACAAAAAATTTTTGTTATTGTTTTGTTGTTGTTTTTTGTAATTAAAGAAAAGTCCTTATTTTTGATGGCGGGCATGATAACTCCTCGCTGGAACACCAGAATCCGAAAATTCCAACGGTGTTAGAAAATGAGTACATGTCTGGCTCTCGTATGAACTAGGATTATTGACTTCGCTTTAAAATTAACGTCTTTATCAGCCCTTGAAAAATATTCTTTTAAAACCCATGCCTTTTTTAGGCCCTCGAACAAATATTCTTTAAAAATCTTTATAACTATTGGCCCTTTCTTCAGGAATTCTTTAATTTGGAAATTTGGATATTAGGTTGGGGACAAAGAAATCAATTATGACTATGTCAATAAAATCAGAGAAATGATCAAAGTTGACCGGCATGTTAGGAGTCGCCCAGGAGCTCAAAATCGATCATAAAACTGTTTAAAACCATTTACACAAAGCTGGATTCAAACAGAAGCTCGATGTTTGGGTGCCACACCAATTAAAAGAACAAAATAGGATGGATAGAATTTGCATCTATAAAGCCTTGGCCAAACGGACTGGAATAGACTCATTTCATAAACGGATGGTGAGAAATGGATCACATACGATAACCCTGTGCGAAAACGATCGTGCTCAAAGAGCGGTGATGCGCCTTAAACGGTGGGCAAACCAGGACAAACGGCCAGGAAGGTTCTGCTATGCATTTGATGGGACTGTGGGACTCTACTGTCAACAACTTTGGGACTCTACTGTCAACAACTGGGTTTGAAGATAGTAATTGACCAGAAACGGCTAGAATTGGCCAACAGGACAGGTGTTGTGTTCCACTAGCAAAACGCTAGGCCACACACATCTACAGTGACTCGTCATAAATTTCTGGAGCTTGGTTGGGAAGTTTTAA